GGCAAAAACGCGTATTTGAGTTATGCTATGAGTAGGGTTGTTATAAGTCCGATCCTACCGGTCCAGACTCCACAAATCAATTCTTATGTTATAAATCTTATAAGAAAAGCAGTTATTTGGTAATTCAATTAAATAAATGTATTAGACCAATTGGACATAGTCCAGTACTGCGCCATTGATCCTGGACAATATCGGCTTTGTCGATCAATTTCGAACAGAATGGATTTATCCAAATAAATATGTTCGAAAAATTGATCGACAAAACCGATAATTTTAAGTCCAGTCAGTAACTTATGACCTGACAACTTAGACTTAGACTATCGTGTATGTAAAATAAATTTTAATGTATTGTTTTTTTGTAGGTTGAGTCCGCAAATGCCCGGCTCAATTCCAAGAGTCTCAGTTGGATTCAGACATGAAGTTGAGGTCGACTTAAATGGAACGATCAAACTTGTAGATCTAGTGGATTATGAAAAGACCGTGTGTCAAGAAACTTGGAAAATTTTAATAAATCTTGTTGATAAAATAAAAACCAAGAAGATTAAAGCTTCATTTTTCAACGCGACACCTCAAGGTGGCGGGGGTAATATTATTTTATTTTTTAGTAGGGTTTGTTTGATATTTTTAAAAATTGAGTATTTCTTTTTTGATTAGTTGCTCTTATGCGTCACGCGCTCATTCGCCTTTGTCGTTTCTTTAAATTGGATATTCACTGGTTCGTGGCCAAGCCAAGCCCTGAAATTTTTGATATTACGAAGAGGAAATTTCATAACATTTTACAGGTACGAGTAGTTTTAGCCAATAATATTTGGTATTTGTGTTACACGGTTCTAATGATAACTACCCCGTCTGAAGCGGTGTCACGAACGTCATGAAAATCACGTGATTGGTTTATTAATACTGTATTCTTTATCGTGAAATCGGATGCTGAAATTTATTTAAATCCATAATACCTACTAAAATCCACATGTACACTTTTTTAACAATTCTATCCTTAAACCCCAACCCTAACCCTATAAAAATTTTTAAATTTCATGATAAAATAGATAAAAATTTCTGCATCATTTCTTTGTTCACAAAATCAACTCCGATTCCACTGATAACAATTAAATTTAAATTTATCGTGTTTTAATACAAATATGATTTTTTTTTCAAATTATACAGGGTGTAGAACCTCCAAATACGCGTCTGACACAAAATGATAAAGATGCATTTATAGCTTGGTCAAATAATAATGTTGAACTCTTCTGGGGTTATGAAGATGGGCCAATTAAAACAAGTGACGTCATTATTATTGACGATCCGCAAGGTAAAGCTTATTATTCATTAATAATTAGAGAATATAGCTTATACGTTCTTTTTTAACGTTTAGTATGCGGTATTATTCCACATATTAAGAAATTAAATCCAACTTGCAAAATAATTTTTCGTAGTCATATTCAAAGTAAGTTGTATAATAATTTACTTTCATTTACGAATAATACATATATATAATTGTTGTGTAAAAAAATTTAGGGGCATGCCCAAAATTTTAGGGACTCTAACTTTAATCATATAGGCTAGGTGCTGCAAAAAGGGACCAAATTGACAATTTTTTCAAACCCTTAGAAATATTTTTTACTTAAGATAACAAATACGGTTATCTTAATAAAATTTTACTGTACAACTCTTTAAAGTTTGCATTTTCTTATAAGATTTATAACATAAGAATTGATTTTTTTTTTTGTCAATTTCGTCCCTTTTTGCAGCACCTAGTCCATATGCATGTAATCGTAATAATAATAATAATATATGTAGTTATTTATAAACATCCCTATATGATATTTATTAATTATAAAATAGTTTGTGCTAACCTTATTAGGGATAATCCAACTGGTCCCCAAGCGGAAGTTTGGAATTTTCTTTGGGAATTTATTTCCCAAGCTGATCTTTTTATATCTCATCCTATTGAAAATTTTGTGCCAGACAACGTTCCTCCCGAAAAAGTGCGTGTTTTTCTATTATCATTAATAATTAATTGGGCGCCTAATCCATTATTTATTTTCAATATTAGGTTGTCCTTCTTCCAGCGTCTACAGACCCATTAGATGGGTTGAACAAAAACCTGAGCCAATCAGATCTGGAATATTATAAATTGGTTTATAATAGATTGTCTATTGACCAATGTGATGTTGAAATTAATTTTAATAGACCTTATATTATTCAAATTGCAAGATTTGATCCTAGTAAAGGTATATTCAATTACTATACAGAAACCTGAATTTCTTAATATTCAGTAACTGCGTAGTGACTATATAGTAACTATCGCTATATAGTTACTATTTGGCTAATTATGCAGTTACTGCGTATTTAGATATTCAGGTTTCTGTAAAGTACATTATAATTAATAATTTCATTTTTAAACGATTTAAATGAGTAAAGAATATTTCTATTATAGGCATTCCACTTGTAATCGAATCATTCAAGATTTTCCGTGACAAACTTAAAAGAGAGGGCTGGTCCCCTGATAAGATGCCTTCACTTATAATTTGTGGGGCCAGTAGTATTGATGACCCAGATGGCACTCCAATGTTTGAGCAAACTTACTTGTCATTGCATCGACCTGAATATGCTGACATTGTGGATGACGTGTCTATTGTTCGTCTTCCAGCATGTGATCAGATATTTAACACCATGCTAAGGTGTGCTCGTGTCGCATTGCAGCTTAGTACGAAAGAAGGTTTCGAGATTAAAGTTACGGAGGCCTTGGCTAAAGGTACTTACGCATATTGCTAGAGCTTGACATTTATTTACAATTTTTTTTTAATTTAAAAAATATATATAATTTGCAGGCGTTCCAGTGATAGCAGCTAGAGCAGGTATGAAATCATACTTAATTTACGGTTATATTTTATAATATTTACATTTAGTATTTCCATTTATTAAGGTGGTATTCCGCTTCAAATAAAACACGAAGAAACAGGATTTCTTGTTGATGTTGGCGATACAGCTCAAGTAGCTGATTATCTATTTGCTCTATTCACAAATGATGAACTATATCAAAAGATGTCATTTTTAGCAAAATCAATTATGAATGAACAATATTTTACAGTTTTCCAAACTTTAAATTGGTTATATTTAATTGACCATTTTGCATCAATAAGAATGAATATTTCGAAAGAAACAAGTGATGGTTATGATGATACTGTGATAGGCAACTATAAATGGGTTAAAGAACTTTGGGCAGAACAATATGGATTTACGGATTGTAAATCACTTGGTTGTAATTGATAGCCGTTTCTTTTTATGAGTAAAACGAAACTTGGACCATTAAAGACTTGGCCTATTTAATATCATTATATATAATATCTATTGAAATTGATTGTTCAAGTTTAGTGCAATTTCAGAACATCGTAGAATAGTATATTTTTTAAAATTATTATTTATTTAATAAAATATATCATATACATTTAATACTTATGTTTTATATCGATAAAAAATATTAAAAGTGCTTGAATATAGTTGATATTTCTAGGCAAAAACGCGTATTTGAGTTATGCTATGAGTAGGGTTGTTATAAGTCCGATCCTACCGGTCCAGACTCCACAAAT